CAGTTTTACACAAGACAACTTTCCACGGACCAGCTGCAGGGATGCACATGTGAGGGGAGGTCACGTTATAATACAGTATAATTATTGTATGATTTAAATAGGATTATATATTGTAATTTATTTAATATATTATTTAATCTTAGCAACGCGGTTAGCCACTAAATGCAATGCTCTCAGTACATTTAACTTCATCTCAGTACCTAAATGGACTGGCACCACCTGCATCCTGATTACTCTGCTGACCCCTGACCTTCTCTCTGGTGCCACCACGAGGCTGACATTTGTGGGTTTGAATGTAACGTCTTGACAACTGCAGGACCCTTTGCCATGACATTTGGTTGAGACATTCCAGGCCCTTAGTGGACAAATCCTACTGACACTGGTGGTTCTCTGCCTTTTTATTTAATGTCAGCAGCTTTCAAAAGTTTCCCTTAAACTGTAAAATTAGAAACATCTTATCTAAAAATGATGCAGAAAGACTGGTTCATGCTTTTATAACATCTAGACTGGACTATTGCAATGGTTTATTATCTGGGTGTCCAAATACATCTTTAAAAAGTCTTCAGTTGATCCAAAATGCTGCTGCCAGAGTCTTAACTGGAGTTAGTGGGAGAGATCATATCTCTCCAGTTTTAGCTTCTCTCCATTGGCTCCCTGTCAAATCCAGAACAGATTTCAAAATCTTACTTCTAACCTACAAAGTTCCATCTTTCACATTTTGTTCTGGTCCAGCTTCTTTCAGCTTCCTTCTGCAAATTTAAACATTTTTTCAGCTACTTTCAACATTTTCTTTCAGCTGTTTTTGGCTCATTTCACTTTCTTCTGTTAAATACAACAATTTTGTGCTTCTTCGAACTTCTTTCTGCTAATTTCAGCTTGCTATGCTCCTTTCAGCTTATTTCTGCAAGTTTTGGCATTTTCTGTTATTTCAGCTACTATTTAGCTGTTTTATGCTAATTTAGTAGGGTTTTTTTTTCAACTAATTCCAACTTTTTAGCACTCATTTCAACTTTTTTTCAGCCTAATTAAGCAAAAAATGTGCTCTGTCCACTTCCTTCTGGTAATTTAAGTGTTTTTCTGCTTTTTTAGCTACTTTCCACCTGTTGTTTTTGGTCATTTCAGCTTTTTCCAGATAATTTCCACTATTTTGTGCTCATTTCTGCGTTTTTCAGCCTGATTGGGCAAAATTGTTCTTTCTCCACAATTCATTCATTCAAGTTTATTTGAACAAGGACAGCACAATAAACAATGTTACATGTTAATACCGAAGCAACCGTTGTTTTGTACAAAGGTTTTCTAGCCACAGGCTAGTACATTAAACTCCTCAGTACCTAAATTGACTAATTCAAGCTTGTTCTATATTTCCGCTAACTTTTTAGCATTTTTTAGCTAATTTCAACTATTTTCAGATAAATTCAATTTTTTTCAGGTAATTTTGGTTATTTTCAGCCTAATTAATTTATTTCTGCTAATTTCAACTTGTTATGCTCCTTTCAGTTTATTTCTACTAGTTTCAGTTTTTTCTGCTCTTTCAGCTACTATTTAGCTGTTTTGTGCTATTTTTAACTATTTCAGCTAATTCCACAATTTTTGAGCTCATTACAGCTCCTTCCACATCCTTCTGGCAGTGTAAGCTTCTTTCTGCCTTTTCAGCTACTTTTCAGCTCATTCTGTTGCTAATTTCAGCCTTTTTTTTTAGCTAATTTCCTAACTTTTTTGCTAATTTCTGCTTATTTAAACCTATTTCAGCAAATATGTGTTCTTTCTGCTTTCTTCTGCTAATTTCGACTTCCTTTTTAGCTACATTTCAGCTGTTTTTAGCCAATTTCAGCTGTTTTTCTTTCTATTTTTTGCAAGTTCTTCAGCAACGAGCATTCGCACTGCATTTTCGCAGGAAATGTAATTTCTCTAGTTAAGATAGTTTATCTCTCACCTGTTCACGTGTCACTCATCAGGGAGAATGCTCATGACTAACTAGACTACTGGAACATTCTTTATGTTCAGGTCTTCGTTTCATGTTTTCAGCTCATCCAAAATGCTGCAGCTTGGCTCTTAACAGGAACTCGTAGGTTTGATCACATGTCTCCAGTTTTGTCCTCCCTTCACTGGCTCCCTGTCCATATCAGAATATATTTTAAATTCTCCTGTTGACCTTTAAGTGCATAAATGACCTTGCACTCTCATATCTCTCTGATAATACCTGTATGTTCCTTCTCAGGTGCTGAAATCATCTGATCAGCTGCTTTTGGTTGAAGCTCAGAGGAGATCGGACTTTTTCAGTCGTGGACCCTAAGCTTTGGATCAACCTGCCCCCCAACATTAGACAGGCCAATTCACTGCCGGTTTTTAAATCTCTCCTTAAAACATTTGTTTTCACTGACTTTTAGCACAGTGTGATTTGATTTAGTATTTTATTGTTTACTGTTTTTTTTTTAATTATTTTGTTGTTTTGTTTTAAATTCTTAAATTCTTAAATTTTTGTAACAGCTGATGTTTTTAAATATGTTTTATAAATACATTTAACTTGACTTTAAAAAGACTAGGGGACACAAAATTATTTTGTTCTAAAAATTGTGGGCCATTTAAGGGTTTAATCTGAATAGTGCTGTCTCATATTAATATAGCCCCACTGTTTGATAAATCCTGTAGTTAGGGTCGGCTTGGGTTTCCTGAGCTGTCCCTTAGTTATGCTGCTATAGGCTGGAGGACAAACTGAGCACATTTCTCGTTATTTCTTCAAGTCAATTGAATTGTTTACATCTCTCCGTCTGCCCCCGTTTACCTCAAACTGTGGACCTGTACGTTAAGGGACGGTGACGATCCGCACCAACAGAAGGCGAGTGTGCGAGCTATCAGACTGGAATTCCTCCACCTGCCAGGAGAAGTAAGTCTTCCTTTTATGAGCCAATTGAAATTCAGCTCACAGGCAATTCATTCTGTCAATGACAGGAGGAGTCAGAACAACCTTGCACCCCCCAACACTAATAACACAGTAATGGTCAGACATAGATCATGCTGAGAGTGCTTATAGTTAGAGTAGGTCTTTGTTCTCCTGTGAGTGTTTATGTGCAGACCATCTTTGCCTTCATTTGTTTGGAGCAGATGCATGCCTGGGTACACCTGTGGTCCAGTGTAATAGTTTTTACTCCAGCTGCGGGCTGACAAATGACCCGCAGGGTTTTTCTTTAACGGTTTGTTCAAGGAGCACCCGCCTGCACTTGACACGTAGCATTGTGCACGCTAAAACAGGAATCAGTTTGCTCTTGTTCTGTATGCATAGGCCTTCCCTAACCTTTGACCCTGCGTGATTCACTGAACGCCATGGCAGGTTCATTACCGCAGCATGAAAGGGCCAATCAGTCCTTAAATATTTCTTCTACTCATCATTAAAAGTTTTACTCACACATGAGCATTTTTTTAATCAATACAGCTGAAGGGGAGAAAATGGATGGCTGGTATAAAAAAGGTCTGTTCTTGGAGCCACCTTCAGCTGCAGCGCTGTTATAGTCGGAGCCGCCACTGGGGGGCAGCAGAGAGCCTTAAAAGAAAGGCCCACCTCAAGGCAGCCTGGAAATAACATGTCGTCATCCATCATCATTAGATTTTGTTTTTGTTTAACTTTATGGATGGCTTGTCTTAAATAATCAAAGGTACCCCCAAAACATGTAAATATACATATATAATAAATAAATATAATAATACTAGAGTAATTGCTTCATGAAGACATATTTAAGGAAAGAGATTCGCTCACTGACCTTAATGGGGCATCATATGACCCAGCATGAGCTTTAGTTTTAAAATTTTCAGGTTAAGACTACATAGATCATCAGCATGAATACATTTTTTTTTGTTAATTTGACTTACTACAAAACTTATGGGGGGTTGCTCGTTTTTGCAATACATAGATTTTTATTTATTTATTTACTTTATATTTATTTTGCTAAGGCTTAAATGAGTAGTTTGGCTGTTTAAAATGGGAGAAAATAGCATTCCAGATTTCCACAATGGAGTTGTTAGATATATATATATATTTTAGCTATTCAAATGAAACACATATTGATAACATTTTGAAAATGAATGGATTAAAAGTACAAATGATTATTTAAAAAAAAATGCTTACATTTTTGAAAAATATATCTTTAAGATTTTTGTTAAAAACAATTGATGGCATCCCATTTTTATGGAATCCTTGAATGAACCTGCTATTACATGTAAACGGGGGAGAGAACTCAAATTGCAAGTTAATGTTTCCATTTTACTGAGATATAGCTAGGAAGCTTTGTTTTCTCTAGTTGGCGGTATTATCCAAAGAAAACAAGTTGATTATTATGCAAACTGAGATGAGTGTGGTGCAAAAATGTGTTATAACAATGATGGGTGGTTTTGAAACATTATTTTTCTCAAAGAAACAAATGGGCCTTTTTGAGTCAGAATGAAGAAATTTATTAGCTCTCCAGTTTAACAGTCACCTCTTGATAACAAGATATACAATTAAAGTCAGTTTTGTTGAGATAAAGTCATGAAAAGGTTTATTTTCTCTTGGCTTCTGTACATTTGACATAAAAAAAAAGTCAAATGAAAACTACAGCTAGTAACAAATGTATTGCATTATATTATTAGCGTTCAAATTAGGTTTGCGCATGCGCACTGTAAAAAGTAGGCGGTGCCAGAGCGGCGAATCAACGAGCATCTGAGGTCACTTCCGTCTTTAAGACTCGCCTACCCAGCAGTTGGGAGTCATTCTCTCTCATTTTAATCCAGCCAATGCTGCTTCGAGGACCCGGACTGTTGGAAACTAACTCGAAGCACAATTTAGGATCCGTTCGACGCAGAAAACGCCGGTAGCCACATGCGACACGCCATCTGCTCACGGGATACACGGCATTTCATAATTTCATAACCGGACTACTTTTTTTTATTTTTTATTGGGAGTTTTTCACGCTTTTGTTTTTAATCCCCAAGTTGCGTTCATATAGACTCTCTCTTCAACAGTCAGGAAAATGGAGAACGACGATAAATATCTCCCTGAGCTTCTGGCAGAGAAGGACAGTCTGGACGCGTCGTTCACGCACGCCATGAAACTTTTAAACAAAGGTAAAGAACTATTTTGTCACTTTGCTTCAAGTCGCGCGCGCGGCGGAAGCAGACCAACGGCTGCACGTCGACGCTCCGGGTGTTTTTTTTTTTTTTTTTCAGAGGAGACGCAAACTGACCTGCATGTACTCAAAACAAGCCAGTATCTTTTAAATATGCCCATATTTCCATGCAGGAGTCGGTTGCACGGTAGTTGATAATGAGAAGGAAATAAGTCTCAACAGAAAGCCACTTTTTTTTTAGAGGATTTTTTGATTTAATGTGTCAGTGATGCCCAACACCGAGCGACATAATGAACATCATGTTTTAAGGCCATAACAGTGATGCTGTTGAAAACGAGCATTATTGCTGCCGACCATCAACAATAATCTGCTCAGTTTAGCCTCTGATCTTCCTTTGTGTCTGCTCTGGTGATGGTTTAGTTAACTCCTCGGTCTGACAGGATGTGCTCAACCTAAGCTACATGTCAGGAATTGAGAGTGTGTCTGAGACAAAGCGTGTCAGTGTTTTGTGCCTGGCTGGAAACATTTCCAGAGCCGGTCTTTGCATGTGCAGCTGGTAGACGGTGGTGCAGCGGACATGTTTGCACAGTGCACACCCAGGTGGTGTCATGACCAGAAGTGGGTGAAATGCTGTGCAGCTCAGGAGGTGTAGCTGTTAAAAGAGTAGTTGGGTGTAGCTGTGTAAGTCTGAGAAATCCTCTGTGTTGACTGTGATGAGCCATTCATGGTTTTAGGAGCTATGGAGATGAAACTACTGTTATTCAACATCAACTACTGGCAATTTAAAATCTTCAGTTCTTTATCTAGGTATGACTAATTTAATTACATGAACGCTTTGTCTTTTTTTTTTTTAGAAATCGGTAGAATCCAGAGAGGGGACACAAAAAAGGAGACAGAAACCTACCTGGACCTTTTCACAACGAACAGCGTCAAACTCAAGGAGCGAGTGCTCATACCTGTCAAACAGTACCCAAAGGTGAGCCGTGTTTGTTGGTGTTTTTTCTTTCAGCTTCTACCAGAACACCTTTTTATGATTTAATGTTTTTCTGTGTAAAGTATCTCAAATAACCTCCCTCAGTGCCAGACCATAAGTATAGTTGAACTATTACCAAAAGGACCTTTTTATCTTGCTGTAAAAAGGGCGGCTCGTTCTGGTGGGACTCACTCAATGATTGTATTGTTTAGAAATGTTTTTATTTCAGCTGAAGCTTTGCTCAGTGTTATTGTGCGACCAGTTGTAACTGTATTTATTAGTGTGTTATTTAAGAGTTGCCCTCTCTGACATGTCTAATCAATACGATGGAGGAGGCTGTTGTCTGTGCGTGACAGCCGTTTGATTCCCCCGGTCTTACTCTGAGTTTACAGAACACAGCAGAGTCGAGGATGACCAATCTTAATTGGCATTTCAGATTATCAAAGCTGCATACACAGCCCCGAGGACAAACCGCTTCCTTGTAGGCAGCTGTTTTTCTAAACATGTTTTCCAATGACGGGTAATGGTAATGCACAGGTTTCACGTTGATTGCAGCTTTTGGTCGGAGTTGGTCTTCTAACCCTTGAGCTCTCACTCACTCTGTGGTTTAAGGCCCTGCGGCATGTGCTGCGAGATCCCTGACAGTGATCGCTGCTTTTGTTTTGTGATGTTTAACTGGACTCCGCTGTGATTGTCAAACTAATTTCACTCTCCTCTGTGGCTTTGTTAGTTCAATTTTGTCGGGAAGATTCTGGGACCTCAGGGAAACACGATCAAACGTCTGCAGGAGGAGACGGGAGCCAAGATTTCTGTGCTGGGCAAAGGATCCATGAGAGACAAAGCCAAGGTACTGCACGTGCACACACGCGTCTTAAGTTGGGCACCTGTCAAATGCAGGAGCGCGTCTGACCTTTATGTAAAAAGGCTAGCAGGCAGCGAGGCCACATGTTGTCAACGTGCAAAGCCAAGAGCGTTTGTGCGCTGCACGTCTTCCAGGAATGATTAAACTAATCCTCAAACCTGTTAACAGCCATAATTATTAAATATCATGACTGATGATCGTCGAGGAGGATTAAATGTGAGGTCTCCTATAACTGATTAAATGTTTGAGTTGGGTCTGCTGACACTTGTGATGTCTTCACCTCAGGAGGAGGACCTGAGGAAAGGTGGCGAGCCCAAGTACGCCCACTTGTCTTTGGAGCTGCACGTGCTCATCGAGGTGTTCGCCCCTGGGCCCGACGCTTACATGCGCATGGCGCACGCCATGGAGGAGGTCAAGAAGCTGCTGTTCCCTGTAAGTTGGTGCTCGCTCTACTTGTTGTAAGCTGTTTGTAGTCTCAGTGAAGTCACTGCAGAGTTGTTGGACACTTTAAATAGCGCAAAAAATGTCTTCAGAACTTAATTTTGTTAATTACTAACGTCATTAAGATGAACACAAAAATCAGTTCATGCAGTTATGTGTTCAATCAGTTCATGCAGTTATAAGTGTTCAGATACTTTAAAATTCCCAGAAAGGTGGAATTGACTATGATAATCAGATTGCATCAATGATTGTTTTATTATTGCTCTGCAGCCATCTGAATCATAAATTGCAAAATGCCTCAAGTTAAAGTTGAAATAAATTGTATGATGTTGGCTGCAGATTGTGATGCAGGAGGTGTAAATGTGCTATTTAAGCATACAGTTGCCACTACAGCTTCTCTGATTGCTCGGCTTGAGACAGTATTTCTTAAACCAAACACAAGTGGTCCAGGCACGTCCGCTCGGACTACGTGTCTGTCCATCGCTGCACGTTCAGCTGAGTCCCATTCTGGAGACGCTCCACTGGAGACCATTGTTCATGCTTGATGCTCGTTGAGCCAGAAAAGGTGTTTTTAAGCCAAGCTGGGTCTTCTGGTGCTCTACCAAGAGTGACTGAGAGCAGGATGTCCAGCCTTGCAACTCCTGGTGCTCTTTTCGAAGAAGTCATTTGAATGAACCAGTGGTGGTGGCGTTGCTGTTATGTAACAAGCTGCAGCACCTGTCTCTACAATTAAAGGTCATAATCCATCAGGCACAAGGACTGTCGTTTAGAATAAGGCTGCGTTTTTGGAGAACGACTTGAAGAAACCCTCTGGATGGGATGTATATTGTTTGTGTGCAGGTAATTCTTAGGGGGGTTGACGGTTCTTCCTCCTCATCCTGTTTTACTCTTTGCACAGCGCTGTGTTCACCAACGTAAATGCAAATGTAAACAACTCTTGCTGTGTGAAAGATTTTCTGATAATCTTTCCATCACAGATTGTTTTTTTTAAACACAGCTGCAGCATCTCCTCCTCCTCCAATGATTTTTGAAGCAGTGCAATTTTATTTTGCCTGCTGTTTTGCAGTTGAATCCCAAGCTGCCGTCCACACTTCTTATCCTAGTTGTCGCTTTTTTTCCTCCTTTATTCGTCGTCATTAGAGCCCTGTCACCATTCCAGGCCGGCGACTGATGTATGAACCGCAGCTGATTGGGTCACAGTGCAGCTCTCTTTTGTGCTGCAGGATTTGTGCTGCTCAGACAGGCAGCGTCGCTAATCCGGCCCAACTTATTGTTTCTGCAGATAAAATGAGCTAAGCGTTGATGCAGTCACACCAGCCTTGTCAAGGACGTGTGGAGATGAGATTTTACATTTTGTGCATGAAGAGAGGAAGACGCAGTGTGGATGGATGCTTTCCAGCCTCCCACATGTCCCCCCTCCTCTCTGAGTCACTAAGCACTGAGACTTTTTCTTCCGCTGGGGTGGGCTGGGGAGGGGATGACATGTTTTTCACTAGCTCAGTAGGTTTTTTTTTCTTTGCTCATGTTTCTCACAGTCTCTCCTCGTTGTTTTTGCTCGCTGTGTGTTGGTGCAGGATTTGATGGATGAAATCTGCCAGGAGCAGTTCATGGAGATGAGCTACCTGAACGGAGGCCAGGAGCACGGCGGCAGAGGGCGAGGGGGCATGCCTGTTAGGGGCCGTGGCGTCCCCCCAGCAGGAGCACTCAGGTGCAGAGACAAAGATGCATACACATACCGCCATGCTCAGGCTAGAGAAGAAAATGTAACATGACCAGTGTTGGGTTTTAATATGATCAGTGATAAAATAAAAAAAAAAGGTTTTATTTTAACTGAACAAGTGAAAATTTTTTTTTTAATATATTTTGGCAGTTATACTAAGTGTAGGTGTCCTAATGGTGAACAACAAGGTTGATATTTGAAGAATTGTGATAACGTTGAATCATTTTTGTCCAAAGGTGACGTACATCAAGCTAGATGTTAACTGGCTTTGCATTAGCTGCTTCACAAGTGGCTAATGGTCAAAGAAACTACTCGTCATGTCTGTGGTTTCCCCTTTATCATCAACTTTATTTTCCCAGTTCTAAAATCCCTTCAGATGTGATGCTCCTCAGAGTTCGCACATCCCCGCTGCACACTGGTAGCATCAGACCATCAGAAGCTTACCCTAAGATTTGATCAGTCCATTAATCGATTTCTGTTTTATTAGTGAATTAAAACATTCAGTGGTCTCACTAAAACTGGTCTGTTAGGAGTATTTTGCATCACCGATTTTTAAACTTCAACGTTTTCCATCTTCTTCCATACTCAAAACATCGTTTTCTTTGCCACGACGTTTTCATTCATGTATAAATTAGTGTTTTCTCCTCCAGGGGAAGAGGGATGCCTCCTCACGGTGCCGCAGGCAGAGGAGGCGTGACTCGAGGTGGCCCAGGCAGAGGTGGAGCAGTGAGGGGGGGCCCAGCAGGCAGGGGAGGACCTCCTGCAGTTCCCAACAGAGGAGCGGTGGCACCGCGTGCTCGAGCCCCAGCTGGAGGACCACCCCAGAGGATGGCACCACCCTCCGCTCACTCCTCCAGTGCAGCTGCTGAGGGTTATGATGAATACGTGAGTTCGTTGTAGAGAAGAATGTTCATCTATTTAGAGGATATATTGGGTATTTTTAGCTTTAAGTTAAAACAAAGCTGACCTGAAAGTCCTTGTGAATATGATTGTTGTTTGGCACGGTGTGTTGCTTTGAAATGTTTGTTCCCTGGTAAAGATGCTTGAGACACGAGGAGTGTATTTTAGTTCAAGTTTAGTACTTCAGGGACATTTTGACATTCGCAGAGCCTGAAGAAGCATCTCACCGTGCTTGTTTCCTTTCCCTCTGCAGGGCTACAACGAGGGCTACACAGACTCGAGCTACGAGTCGTATAACAGCTACTACAGTCAGCCTCAGGCGTGAGTGAATCACACGTCTCAAAACACATTGCGTAGTCTGACTTGAAGTGAAGGTGAAGAATATCAGACGTGCTGCACAAATTCAGAATTATTGCATGTTGTTTCACCGTTATAGGAATTGTGTAGATGTTTAGAGCAGGGCTGGGTGAAGTATCGAATATACTCGATGTATCGCAAGTTTTTCAATTTACAATGGTTAAAATGGCTCCAGCACAACCCCTGAGTATTATTAGACTTGAAAATGTGTAGTTCTTCTTTGTCTGCCCTACCACCTTCCCGCACCCCCTCCCTCCTCACTGAATACAAACACAGCACGTCACTGCTGCTTCACACAAGCTGAAGAGAATTATTATTTAATATATGTAAATAGTTCATTTTTTAGACTTTTTTTGTACAGTTACAGCTGTTGTTAATAATTGTGACAACTGGGACAAAGCTTTGACTCAGAAATATATTTTTGTTATTACTTTATGGAAAGAAACTAATATTGAGATATATATCATATATCACGATATATCTTTAAAAAATCAATATATTAATTTTGATCCATATCTCCCAGCCCTAGTTTAGAATGACCTGTTTACATGTAATGTAAATGTTTCACACCAAAGAAGCAAGCTTTGATCTTCTGTTATTTCTCTGGGCATCACAACGATCAGCTTCGCAATGTTTTCAAAGAAAGAAAAGTGTACGTTCTTTCCTTTCATGTCCTCCTGTTCTTTCTGACCACCAGAGAACCCGAATATTACGACTATGGACATGGAGATAGCACAGAGTCATACGAATCATACGGTAAGAAATACCTTCTTCGCTGAGTAAATGGATATTCATTTCAATCTAGTTGGGTTTATGCACATTCATAACGAGTCATTTCACAGCAGTTCACAAAAAGCAAAACAAATTCACATGCAAATTTTGTTACACAAAGTAAATATATCAAAACTATTACAATAGTCAGATTCATTATATAAGAAAATGCCAATTAGTGATTAGTTGTTGGTCTAAGAAAACTAATAGATTGCATCTTCTAAGACCATGCTGAGCAAGCGCAAGGTGATTGGGAACCGTAGGAATAACTCCCTTTTAACTATTTATTCTGTAAACTAAGAGCGTGATTAAAGGTTGACTTTGTTTGTTCATGTACATTTGGAATTGATTTAACTCGCTGGTTTTTGGCTGTTTTATGCCGTACGAGAAGTTAAATTGTAATTCTTGTTTCCCCTACCATTATACAAGCAGGGTTCCCTGCCCTGCCTACTGAACTGATGAAACCCCCCCCCACACACACACACACACACACACACACACACACACAGCCAACAAAAAAGAATAGCGCCCTGTCCAGGAAAGTAATATAGGTTAAACTCTGCACAATTGATCCAAAATGGTTGCCTTGTTTAAAATTGTACCGTTGTTTATATTTCTAACGTTGGTTTCATTATTACTATTTTTAATCCTCTGTAGACCAAGATGACTGGAACGGCACCCAGAGGACAGTTCCAGGAAAGGCACCTCCCCCCTCCAGAGGCGGCAAGACGACGTACCGGGAGCACCCGTACCGAGCGTACTGAAGCAGACCCCCCCTTTAGCATTGCCCCGATAACGGCCTGTCGACCACGGCAGCTCTCGCTTTAACGAGCTTGACAAAAGTAATTGTTTTGTCTTTTTATTTGTTTTTATTTTTTCTATAAGGACTTTATACAAAAGAGCAAATTGGGGACTGAAAATTCAAACTTATTTACATTTGACTTGACTCCCTCGCTCCTCCTCCTGTCCAACCTGGGGGGGTTTTGGACGGGTCAGAGAGACGTTGACATTCTTCTCTCTCTCTTCCATTTAACGTTTAGTTTTTTTGTTTTCCTCTGACCATTTTATTCCCCCCCCCCCCCCCCCCCGGCTTCTTTGCATCGTTGATTGTTCATGTTTTTACTGTTTGGGACTCGTCATTTCTAGTGGAGTAGTGGCTCAAGACTACCTGTCTGAGGAGTTCATTTTAATTGTTTAAACACAAAGAACCTGTTGAGGGTCAGTTGCAGATTCCCATTTAGGCTACATTTCAAAATTCTGTTAATATAGCCAAATAAAATACCTTTTTAAACTTTCATTCATGTAATATATATAAAACGGAGCCAAACAAATCTTAAATTACCATAAGACTAAAGCAATGATGGAATCGATGCGATTCGTTCTTGATAATTCTTTGTTTTAAATAGATCTAAAACATTACTCATTTAGCCGTAGGCAGCAATATTTGTCACTGTACTTAGAGTTTTGAAATATAGCCCTAATAGACACTGTTGAGATGGACTGTCCTCATCCTTAATTGTTTTTAGTTGTTAAAAAAAAAAAATACTTTTAAAACAAAATAATTGTTTAATGAGAATCTGGTTGAAACCTGTAAATTTAAAACCAGTTGGGGTCTTCGTTTTTGTGATCTGATTCTACACAAACTGCATGCACGAAGTACACAAAGAAGGATTGGGACAAAAATCTCCACATGGGTCTTCTCTTGCTGTAGAGAAGGGATCCTGCAGCTCAATCCAAACTCTTGTACATATTTTAAAACATCCTAACTGTACCTATTCTGTACCCTCTCCATAAAATGCATTATGCTCCATGTGTAAGCTTGCCTAAATAGGTAACTAAATCTGTCCAAAAGATGTTTTGCAGCAGTTTGTCAATAAAGCTTAGTTTGTTTTTATGAAACTTAACTTGCCTTATTTGTTTCCTGTCCTAGTAAAATTCTGAAATGGCCTTTTTTTTAAACGACCTTCAGTAATCAGTTGTAGGTGTTTTCCTCTGTTTCTCTTTCAAAACCGCCTTTTAAATCTAAATGAATGTATTGACGTCTGAAGACTTTAACCGTTACCAAATGATGTTTTGGTTTATCAAAAGAGCACAACTTATTCTCTCTCTCTCTTTCTATACTTTTTAAAAAGGACCCAGAGGTAAGACCTCTAAAATAACCTGATAGAGTTGTAAAGCATTGAATGCCTGGGTATGTATAAGACTTTTTCAATCCTCTTACCTGTGGTCGTAATCGTCAATGAGCATTGCTTTTATAGCGTTTGAAATTTAACTGAATTCAAACCACCATTCAGGTCTAGGCCTCGTTGTCATGAACGATGCTGGCGCGAGGGCTACTTTAGTACAGAGTAATGGCAGTGCAATGGAGAGGATGGTTATAACCTAGAGAACTCCGCTGTAAAGGTAACCTAACCCTAAATGTTCAATTTCCTAATGTGTTTATCCTTTGACATAAACTTGCTGGTAAATCCAAACTGTCTTAAAATGATATCACATTTATGGCAACAAAAAGAGTCCATTTAAAAGTAAGAAAAAAAAAGTAACTTCCAACATCATATAGTAGTGGATATTATGTACAAAAATAAATGTTTTGTGTACTAACAAAATATATTAGGATAGTGTTAATGCAACTCTTGGTAAAAACGAACAGAGCCAAATCGATTATCAATATCTGTGCAGTTGAGCTGCTCGTACTTTTTATTTGCTGTGTAAAAGTTTAATATTTCAAATGTACACTTGCCTAAACAAGAGTGAGTTGCATGAGCATATCTTCTCCTGTAGACGTTGCATGATCTGTTGCAAGTTTCTCCCGGCGAGTTTTAGACGCTGGTATTGATTTGTGGTTTGTCCTTCCCTCAGGCTCCACCATCGCTCACTGGACAACCTGGAGACTGACGGTGTGCTGGAGACATCCTCAGGTTGGTTCTTTGCTCCACGTTGATCATTCTGCATGCTGCGGAGTTCTCCCCCCACGTGTCGGCACACAGAACAGTACGACGTTGTCACATGAAAGTTGATTAAACCTCTACCTTTTAGTGTTTGGTGTATGTTCAACATCCCCATGAAGGCATAAACTGGAGGGATGGGTAGCTGGGATCTTAAAGCTGTGCTGGGCTGGAAACAAGACCATGCCAGAAAGATTGTTACCACTTGTACCATAATTTCCAGACTATAAGTCACTACTTTTCTCACACACTTTGAACACCTGCTTAATGCTTATACAATGCTGCAGCTAATTTATTATTTTTTTTATTTTTTTCACGGGCTAACGAGCTTCATGTCGCCAAAACATTTAGCCTCGTCACACCCAGGCGCTCTCAGAGCTGCCCGATCCACGTCTCTCGTGGGGGGTGGGTCCTCGTGACTCAGTGAGACTACTTTTATATGTAAAGGTTAAAAAAAAAAAAAAAATCAGCCTAATGAAAATTTGAATTGCCATAAACCAAATGCTCTCACTAAACTCTTCAGATCAGTTGTTTTGTGCTTCGTGCACACACCCTCATCATAGACAAAGAAATTCATATGGGGCGGCTGTGGCTGAGTGGTTAGGGAAGCACTGCAGTAGCTTACGAGGAAACGGTCATTGAGCACCATCTTCATCTTCCTCCTGTGCGCTAAATCCACCAAATCATCTTCTTCAGTGTCACAACTGAACAGCCCCAGAAAAACTTGACTTCAGCATGTGACTTCTGGTGGATTTGAACCCCCAACTCTTGCATTGGAGGATGACTGCTCTAACAATCATACAAGCAGAGCGCACTGCTCTGTCAACAGAACCTAGCCCCCTGCCTACCGAACCGCACACCCACCCCCGTCGACAACTGCCGGCACTATACAGACACGCAAGCTAAAAAAGCTATGACTAGGGAGGTGGCGTGAGCTGTCCCCCCCTCCCTGCTGGAATACAGTCTGTACAAACGGCGTGCAACTCAGACTTGTCTCTGTCCCACCCCTCGTCAACAAAAGTCACGGAAGATATGAGCACCCTGCCAAGGCAAGTAAACCAGGAGAAACACTGTCCTGTATTTATTTATTTATTTCTAACCAGCTGTGTTACCGGCACTGTTCAGATTTTTTTTTTTTTACTTTACATATCCGTGTGTGTTACCGGTACATATTTTTAAATTTTTTTTTTAATCTTTCTGTATAAGTATTTCATGTTACAACGTGGACACCCGCAGCTTATAGACAAATTCGGCCTATATATATGTACTACTTATTTTATTTTATTTATATATGGGCGCGACATATTTGGTTGCACTCTATAGTCTGGAAATGACTGTATTTTGTTTAGTTGAGTTTTAGCATCTGGTCTCGTGCAGGACTGTCAAGAGATGATGTGTCGGCAGGAATGAGATATCTGGCTAACAATATTTTCCAACTGCATCTGTTCATTTGGGCTGTCGTTTTGGGTTAAAGAAAATCAAAATAAACATGTCTAATAGTTTTAGAATTGCCTCACAACCCTTTGAATTGGAAATGATTGGGAGGTATCTATAAAGATTTGCATCCCACCATAAAATGTTTGTGGGAGACCTAACGAGACTTTGTCTACATAATGGTATAGGAAGAGTTTATATTGTCACACACTGCTCATTATATTAAATGTCATTGTGCAGGGACTGGAATAATAACTCATATCAGCAAGGCTGAAGAATTCAGCACAGCTGAAATGTTCTGTAATTATAATAATTACAAAACATTTTTATTCTGAATTTAAAACTGCTAGAAGGATTTTACAAACTGGATTCCAAAAAAGTTGGTACACTAAACAAATTGTGAATAAAAACTGAATGCAATGATGTGGAGATGGCAAATGTCAATATTTTGTTCGTAATATAACATAGATGACAGATCAAAAGTTTAATCTGAGTAAATGAAACATTTTAAAGGAAAAATATGTTTGTTCAAAATTTCAGTGTCAACAAATCCCAAAAAAGTTGGGACAAGTATCAATAAGTGGCTGGAAAAAGGAAACTGAACATATAACGAACAGCTGGAAGACCAATTAACACTAATTAGGTCAATTGACAACATGATTGGGTATAAAGAGCTTCTCAGAGTGACAGTGTCTCTCAGAAGCCAAGATGGTAAGAGGATCACCAATTCCACCATTGTTGTGCAGACAGATAGTGCAGCAATACCAGAATGGTGTTACCCAGCGTAAAATAGCAAAGACTTTTAAGTTATCATCATCAACCGTGCATAACATCATCAAAAGATTCAGAGAATCTGGAACAATCGCTGTGCGTAAGGGTCAAGGCTGTAAAACTCTACTGGATGCTCGTGATCTCCGGGCCCTTAAACGTCACTGCACCTCAAACAGGAATGCCACTGTCAAGAAAATAACAGAATGGGCTCAGGAATACTTCCAGAAAGCATCGTCAGTGAACACAATCCACCGTGCCATCCGCCGTTGCCAGCTGAAACTCTACAGTGCAAAGAGGAAGCCATTTCAAAGCAAGCTTCACAAGCTCAGACGTTTGCACTGAGCCAGGGGTCATTTAAAATGGAGTGTGGCAAAATGGAAGACTGTTCAGTGGTCAGATGAGTCACGATTTGAAGTTCTTTATGGAACACAGGGACGCCATGTCATCCGGACCAGAGAGGACAAGGATAGCCCAAGTTGTTATCAATGCTCCGTTCAGAAGCCTGCATCACTGATGGTATGGGGTTGCATGAGCGCTTGTGGCATGGGCAGCTTGCATGTCTGGAAAGGCACCATTAATGCAGAGAACTATGTTCAGGTTCTAGAACAACATATGCTCCCATCTAGACGTCATCTCTTTCAGGGAAGACCCTGCATTTTTCAACACGATAATGCCAGACCACATTCTGCAGCAATCACAACATCATGTCTACGTAGGAGAAGGATCCAGGTACTGAAATGGCCAGCCTGCAGTCCAGATCTTTCACCTATAGAGAACATTTGGTGCATCATAAAGAGGAAGGTGCAACAAAGAAGGCCCAAGACGATTGAACAGTTAGAGGCCTGTATTAGACATGAATGGGAGAGCATTCCTATTTCTAAACTTGAGAAACTGGTCTCCTCTGTCCCCAGACGTCTGTTGAGTGTTGGA